CTGTATGAATTTAAGGACCTCGTTTTCCGAATGTGTCCAAATTTTGAATATATCATCTAGGTACCGTTTATAGAGTAATGGTTTGATATTACAAGATGAAAGAAAATTGGACTCTATGTGGTGCATGAATATGTTAGCGTAGTTTGGGGCCATTCTTGTACCCATTGCCGTACCACTGATTTGAAGATAGTACTGGTTGTTAAATTCAAAGCTGTTCAAATCGAGTACAAGTCTTGTGAGGATTTCAATTACTTTTTTGCTTGGATAAGCGACAGGGTTGTGTGTGCCATACGATTCAACAAGCGCCCTTACACCATCGTCATGTGGGATATTTGTGTAGAGTGAGCTAACATCCAATGTTACGAGAAATGCACCGTCTGGAATTTTCACGTCTGCTATTTCCCGAAGGAAGTGGTTTGTGTCACGCAAGAAGGACTCATGTGTGGGTGGTATGTCTTTGATGAAAGAATCAATATAACTGGAAATGGGTTCCGTTAACGTTCCCGTGCCTGATATAATGGGTCTGCCAGGGTTATTCTCTTTATGAATCTTCGGCAGCATGTAAAAACGACCAGGGGGCGCCGAATGTACCGTAATAAGTGCCTTTTAAGCTTTGAAATAATAGCGCCTTCACGTGTGAGATCCTCTAGGGTTGTTACAATGATCTTTTTGTGCTCCGTGGTAGGGTCAAAGTCGAGGTGTTTGTAGAATTGTTTGTTATTTGGTTGTCGCTTTCCTTCCTCAATGTAGTCCGATCTATTCAGAACAACAATCGCGCCTCCATTGTCTGCTGGTTTAATGACGAGATCTTCGCAGTTGCTCAACGTGAGTAGTGCCTCTTTTTCTCTTTTTGATATGTTATTCATGCTTGGTTTGTGCACTTTGTACGCATGTATAACATCTTTTTGAACCGCGTCTATATAGAGATCCAGATGTCGATCTCTGTTGGCGTCTGGGGTCCATTGCCGTCCGATTACCCCACGAAAAAGTGCGTTACCTTTTTCGGGTTTATCAAAATAATATTCCTCCAATCGTAAATTTCGTGCGAAGTTGTCTAGGTCTTTTAGGAGCGTGAATTCATCATACATTCCGTTGCCAGGGCAGAATGTAAGTCTGCGTGATAGTATACTCAATTCTTCTTTGCTAAGTTCTTTGTCGGAAAGGTTAATAACGTTTGGCTCTTTGGGGTTTGGTGGCAAATTTTTTTGAACGTGAGATGATTTGGTATTTTTTCTGTAAGGAGCAGTGGGTATAGCTTGTGACACATTGTCCCGCGCAAATTTCTTCCTCTTAAGTTTTTCAATTTCTTCCGTTTTTTTTTTGTGCTCAAATACGTCTAGTTCTTTAGCTTCCCACTCCGAAAGAGAAAAGTTATTTCTTAAATACCGCTCCTCGTCTGTCAGTGCGTTTAGAGTCTTTCTACAGTGTTCCATGGTGACCTTCGTTAGCTCCTGTGTGGCGTGATCGAGAATTTCATTCCACCGTTTCATTTCCCCTTCGGCAAAGTTATGCATCGATGGTGTTAGCGACAAGCGCAGCCCCTTCGGAGCCGTACCCGCCAGTACATATTGTTCGAGGCTTTGCACGTGAAGTTCGTGCCGTATTCTTTTGTCAACCACTTTTCTAAGTTTAAGAAAATTTGGACCCGTTCTATGGCCTAGTTCATCTGAAACGGACGGTATTTGCCCACTCGCACAGCCAGTATGTCACTTTGCACAGACGCGGCGAATAGAGCCGCAAGGTGCCCGGAGGCATAGTCCGTGATCTCCGGTGGCCATTGCTCCTGCATTGCTAGATTTCTAGCGAAGTGTGTGTGTAAGTACTTCAACGCTGTCACCTGCGCACATTGCTAGCTTTTTAGCGAAGTGCGGAAGTACTTCAGCGCTGTCAGACCATGTCAGTCGGAAAAGCAGGCAAATTGTTCGACAGTTTAATATAGTTAGGTGGACTAATGAGGTTAGCTGTGGGCATCATTTATTAAATGCTGATTGCCGTGAGCAACACTGTGACACGTCAATAGTTCGCAGCAACTTAGTCTGCCAATTACTGCCTCGTGTTCTAAGGAATTACAAAGAAGCCGATTTACACCTACCTATAATGATACAACCTCGTCAAGCAGTAAATTCAAGCGGTTACGGTACACTGAGTGGAAGAGCAAGTTTTCGTGCTGCGTATTCATTGCGCCTACTATATGAGGCGGAGCGAAATGATGGCAAGAAACTGGTGGACCACTATTTTTTTTGTGGGGGGGGGGGGGGGGGCGGACAGCCTTAACGATTTCTCCGTGTGTTCGCGTGTGTCTAGGCTGTATGGTCTCCATACGTGGGCTGAATTAAGGTGGTTTCAAACAATATTACCTACCTGCTGCTACAATAGCGTTCTTATATAGCTGGTGATAATAGACCCATTTATTGTTTTTTTTGTTCCATTTAAATTTTTTATCTTTGTTTCTACCTTTTTCTTTCCTACCTTTGTCTCGCTGTCTCTCCTATTTCTCACTTTCTTCATTTTCTTTCCACGTTTTCCTCTATTTTGTTCTCTTTCCTTGGTTCTCTCTTTTTGCAATGATTTTCGTTTTTTTTATATCCTTCGTCCTGGCTCTGTTTCTTTCAGTCTCCCAGTTACTTTTCTCCTCACACCCATCAGCTTTATTACAGGCCACACTGGAGAAATCGGCGTAGGTGTAGGAGGCATTGGTTTTGGTAGCGAAGCAGAAGATGATGAGCACTGAGAGATTAAAAAGGACGAGGAGAGCGCGTACCAATTTATGTTGATGATCATTTCGAAAGTTCACATTAGCACTGTTAATTCACTCCAACAATTCTATAATTCAATAGTCCATGTGATTATATTTAGATATAATTCAATAGTTTCTTGGCCAATCTCTAAGAGTGGGTGTGAGCCAATCATTAAAGATTTCATCATTTCTGTTCGCTCTGCCTGGCACAACGAAAAGCCTAAAGGAGTACCGACACGATTTTGAGGTGCAGCAAAACAGACGTTTTTAGTTTTCTTGACATGCAGTGCTAACGCTTTCCCGAACAGGAGCTGGGAAACACTTATAAAATATGTCACTTTGATTTTAAAGTTGTCACCTTTCAGCAAACGCGTCAGTCAGTGAAGAACTTTATTATACGGTCCTGAGGAGTTTAAGCTTTAAGCCACCAGGGTGTCCACGAGGGACTCCAGATATTTTTTATGGGGGGAAGGGGGGGGGGCACCGTCTTTATTTCTGGAAGAGCACCCCTTTGAAATAGTCATTTTTCTCTCTCTGTGCTATGGCGAACAAAATTCGGAGGGGAGGGGCAGCACGGGCTCAATGTGCCACCTCCTGGCTATGCCCATGCCTCCCAGCATGTGCAAAGCAGCTCCACCACCATCATAGTGTTATGCCGTTTCGAAATAGCTCAGTAGGTTTGTGAAATCTGCGTCCAGCATGCAGCCTAAATTGCAGAAATCACTTTTTGGGGGTGCTGGACAGCTGTTCACTCATCATGAACCACGTGTGACTGACAGCAAAGGACAGCAGGTGCATCTTTCACGAGTTGCACTTTGCCCGTGACGTCACGGGAAGACTTTACACGTCACAGCAAAGCCTACCTTTGATACCGAAACCAAAATAAGTTTTAATGTGGTGGTATTAAAAATATATTCAATGTATTCTCAGGCACCCCAGCATTCTTTTTAGTGTTGTCGACACCCGTGTTTTCATTTATAGTGTAATGTGTAAACTGTATAGTAACGTTACATTGAACTTATGCATAGTGTTTTGAGAGAGAACATACCTTTGGACTCTCTCCAACATTTTTTCGCATCAAAGGGCAGCCATGCCCTGCACGCTCGTCTATATCCAAGATGAACACCTCATTCTAGCTTGTATTGAAGCCCTTGAATGAAGAAGCTGGTGTTGCATACATAATTCTAAGAAAATTGTTAGTGTGTTTATTGTTACTTTGATCAGAGGACATATATGTTTCCTTCTTGAGGTTGAATAAACATTCTGGATTTACTGACTTGAATTCTGGATGTGGTCAACCTTGTATGTTTGCTCAAACGGGGCAGTACGGTGGTTAAAAACATAAATTAAGGCAGGTTTGCACTAGTGGTTTCAAGAAGCCTGAAGAAAGAGGGGAAGTCTGCCTTGTTTCTCTTGAGCTATCTTTTTGCCTGTTCTCTTTCTTTTTAGTTTTTTTTCTGTCTTTATTGCTCCTCTAATTATCTATTTCCCTTGCCCTTTCTACCTTTCTTCTTTTTCCATCTCTTTCTAATTCTCGCTTGCTACCTCTTTTCTAATTGTACGCCAAGCGACGACCACACAGGCCCCTAAAGTGCTCCACACCTAAAAACACCTTCAGCGTGCACTATTTCGTGCTATCATGTACAGCAGCACTAACGCCACGCATGCTAATTTTATGGTCACACATGTAAGTCTATGCATATTACGTACGCTTGAACATTACATGTCAATTTATTTCCAAGCTCTTTCTAGATTTTACATGCCAGAATAAATTTAGCATTATAAAAGTCATCTTAAGGGGTTTTAGAAGACAGAAAGTTCGGCGATGCATTTGATGTTGTGAGCACGTATAGGCGACATCATTTGCAACGTCTGGTTTTTGTCTAAGGGAGAAGTGTATGCGACGTTAATAATACGTCAGCTCTCTATACTGTAAAGATGGTACATTATGGGGATGTTAATTAGATGTTATCGATAGACATAGACGTATGGATCTTATTTCTACGTTGCCAGGATATCGGTGGTTCACTGGGACCTGCGAGGAGTGCGGAGAAGGCGTGATGCAACACTGGACCTCCGACGTTCTAACCAGCAACACACAGTTTGAACAACCAGAAAGCAGCACTTGTGAGAGCGCCGTCGGTGGAGAGGCAGTTAGAAGAGCTCTTGTACAATACTACAAACAGAGGAAAGAGAATTAAGGAGGCACTGACATCACCTACTTTTGTAGTACTGTTTTCTTTATTTCCTTAATATTATTTATCAACACAAGGGTGTTAGTTAAGCGTACCAAAAGGTGTACCTATTGCATCAAACATTTTTTCTTGAAGCTTCAAGTGGCACTCTCTCAGCTCCATTTCTTCAGCGTGCGCAGCTCTGAGGAGGTGGTGCCACGCCTCCTTTTAGTTGCATTGCGCCGTAGCTGGGATGTGGAACGAACAGCCGATGGTTCCTCTTCAGCTGCTTCGGGCGGTGGATCTTAAGAGATTCCCGTGCTTTCGCTTACTTCAGGGCTACTATGTTCATTGTTCTGGCGACCACTGCACACCATACCGCTGATGAGCTGCGTAAAAAGAAAAAGAAAGCTGGGAAACAGCAATGACTTGCGCTGGCTGGTCAGAACTCAATAAAAATGTTTCTAGAAACAATGCTACTAAAACAGTATGTCTCGCACATTATTTCTGTTCATTTAAAAATATCTCGAATACGCACTTTCAATCTCTCACTCGCGAGCACGAGGGCCACATCAGCACACTTTTGTTGCCATGGAATTTCTAAACAAAAAAAGTATTTCACATACCTCTTCCACAGTGGTGCCTTCCTCTCCGCAGCTTGTCTTCTGCACGAGACTCGCGTCTTTTACCGGGAGGCATCCCAAGAAAGAATGAATTTTTCGGAAATAGGGTCAATTAACTGATCCTGAGCCAGTCGCCTGTCCCTTCTTCACGTAGTGTCTGCAAAAAGCATAAATGCATGCACAAAATGAAAGAGTAGGAAGTAATTGTAGCGTGTATACTGTAGTTTACATAAGGGGTTTGTGGTACGTTCGCCTGACCACATTTTTTACCCTTGAGCTGGGGAATATAGGCCCGTACTCTAACCTCCTGAGACCCAGAATTTAGGGTGATGTATTTTTGCTAAACTTTCAAAGGTGATTTTTCTTAGTGCTATAGGTGAGAAGTGTCGCGTAGTTTTTCAAACGATGATGTTAATTGCCCGCAGCACGTTGTGCATTATATCGGCACTCTTAGAGGACTGTTTTGGGAAACAGTAAGTAAGCCATAGTTGAGGTCAGAGACGGAGAAGGACATATCGCATTACATATATACTTCCATTTACTGCTTCAAAGCTGACACTACGAATACTAATGGTAATATTTTCTCGGCCATGGCATCGTAACCTACCAAGGAAAATAAGTGACGTCAAAATCTCTTAAATATAACTGCAGCGAAAAAAGTGCTCTTCTCTGAAGAGTTCCGAGAGAGCACATGAGCACACTGTCATTTTTTTGTTGTCATTGTGACCCAACACCCATTATGTTGTACATTGTCAGATTCGCTCCGCATGGAAAAAACTAACAATTTTTTTTCTCAAATATGGATTTCTGTGTGTGCTTGAACCTTTTACGAACAGAAACTAATGCTTAAATACACTTAAGACATCTAAAAATGAATATAAACTCATTCACTTCTTAGGCGGTAGCAGTAAAAGTTGTTCGTGCTCAGTCCCGTTATTTCGAGTGCTCCTGAGAAACGGGAAAGAAACCGACTGCGACAATATTCACTAGATCTTGGCACGGGTTCCACGAGCAGCTTAGAAAACACTTTTTCAGAAGGAGGCAAGTGCTATGAAAGCCGTGTTGTGCTGTGTTACCATTTGTTTATTATATTGACAAATTTCCCATTGCTGGGACTCAGAAGGCTGAATAGCACTGAACACTTCAATGACAAAAAATCAGCGAACACTATTTCTATAGAGGCTTTATCAGCAGTGTTATTCATGCAAAGAACGCAAGGACGTGAAAAACTGCGTGCCACTACAATGTAATTTCATAAATACACCATTTCACAGTGTATTTCGTGCACTTACCTGTATTGCTGCGTGAGATTTTTGATCTTGACTTTGATTTCTGATGGCCCCCGCTCGTAGCCGTCCAGTCTGAGCGAAGTGGCGATCTCGTTGCATATACCAGCGTTTCTCTTCTGGCACCTCAAGTCTCCCAGTCTTTCCTGCCAGCGGTCAATTAATGTGGAGGTCTCTTCTTTCAACCACGAAGTGGGCGTACGCTGCGACGTAGTCGATAGGTTTGCAACACTCATATTCGATTTGCTTCGAGCTGCTCGAACAGCTCCGATGGTGCGGGTTGAAGCAAGCGTGGAAGGCAACGGTCGACTGCTTGTCGTCTGCTTATCCCGTAAGCGTGTTTGACAACCGTATGCTGGAGAACGCGCGAGAGAGGGGAGACGCCCATGTCGTCTGCTACGGCGCTCATTGGTAGCGGCTACCACTAACGTCATTTCCGCGTTCAGTTAGAATTTGCTGTTTTTTTGCGGTGGCCGCGCCAGCAGCCACGGCCGCCGCGGACTCGCTGGTAGCGCCGGTACTGACAGCAGCTGTGTGTGGTGTATTTGGTGAATGCAATTGCATTTGGGTTGTTTCCGAACTACTGACACCTTAAGTAAACAGTCTCGGGCAAACTGCGTCGGGGGTGTACTGAGAGCAGCTGTGTGGTTTGGTGTGTTTTGTGAATCGGATTGCGTTTGGGTTGTTTCCGAACTACTGATACCATAAGTAAACAGTCTCGGGCAAATTGCTTAAACAGACTGCACACAAGACGTATTTGTTTGCCGCAGCGTCACTAGCATGAGGGCTCGCTTTTTCCCGTCGATACCGCAGCGTGTTCGTGACGGCTCTTAAGCACATGTCAAGTTTTATTCCGGTCGGCTCATTACGCTGGTGCAGGTACGGCCGTTTGTCAACGTTCATGTATTGACCAATATCGAGGGTACCGACGGTATTGCCTACACGATCGATGCGTATCGTTCGTAATTGCTAGTTTAAACTATGAAGTGCTCATAATACGCCCCAGCCTCTTTTTACCTGTAGCGAGAGCAGCGCAAAACGTGAAACAGTTGTTCAATAACTGAGCATGTCCTGTTTTAAAATAAACTGCCGAGTTACTTAACATTGCAGGGTCGGTTCGTAATGCCTGCCGCAGATTTGCGGACTTTGTGCAGCAGTCATTCTCCAAAATACCGCACGTGTATAACTTGCAGGTGACCGTGGGTTATATTTGAAGCAAAATCAGGGAGATATGAGGTAGTTGCAGAGCGAAACAAAAACTAGATTTGACAAGATGTGCGTGGCTTCCAACTATATCACTGTGATGTACTGACCAGCTTACTGCAATGACGAATAGAGAAAAAAAAAAGATACATCACAGGCAGATGGCGCAAAAAAAAAAACAGAATGTCGGTTATGGGTGGCTTTAGCTTTCAGTAAATTTCTGCAAGAGCATGGTTGTGTATGCGAGATGTTTTATTTGTATTACTTCCCAAGGCCTGAGGGCATCACAGGGGGAGTCGAAAATTCAATGCACACAAATAAAGTAATTAGTATTAGTAATTTCTAACTTCACAGTGTAAGCTATAAGGTTGCGGGCTTCAGGGAGGATCAGGTGTTCTATTATAAGTAAGCAAGAACTAATGGACAGAGAAAGCAAAAATCCTGTAAATAATGTCATCAGGTTCCTCCTGTCGCAGCATTTTTTTTTTATTTTTCATTGCAACCAACTCACTTTATTATTTCTACGCTTCCACAATAAGCCTTTGCTGTGAGTCACTCTTGCTGCCCTTATGTGGATGGCTTCAGACAGGCAACACGCATATTCACAATAGGTTCCTGGCAGTTTTTCTTAACTCTGGGACCAGCTAATGTGATATTTTTTGCAATATAGCTCTTCCATAACAGTTTTAATAAACTTGACATATATTCACTTGAACACGCTGCGCTCGAGTGTAAGCAGTGTTTTCAGAAACAGAATTAAAAAGTTCACCTTCATTATCGAACTGAACGGGGCCGGTTGGTACGTACATTACAAAATGTTGGATTTATACAAGTCGTACCGATCTGTTTAAAACTCGCAAGTACGACCATGCACTGAAAACTGCTCAAAACATGAACGGTAGCGTACGGCTGTTAGGTGCGGCCGTTAGAACGGGGATTAAAACTACAACTGGGGTGGTTAAAACTTAGGCATAATCTAAACACGCGTGGCGAAAAAACGAGCTCCCCACGCTATGGAACCCCGTGTCCACGGCCGTGCGTCTCGCTCCAACGCGTGAATCTTGTCCGTCTACTACTCCTCGTAATGCCACGAGTGTGCAGATGCCGCCTGTCCGCGCAGTCAGCCCCGACACTGTTTACTTACGGCTTCTGTAGTTCGGCAACAACCTCAAACGACACAACGCAGCACCGCGATCACCCGCTCCTCACCGCGCGTGCGCGGTGCGGACAGAAGAGGACGTCAAGCATTACGCGGAAATGACGTTTGCAGAGGTGGTAGCCAATGAGCGCCGTAGCAGACGGCATGGGCGTCTCCCCTCTCTCGCAGGCGTCAAACACGCATCCCGTAACTACATGCTAACGAATGTTAAAATATGCAATATTTCAGATGTTTTCCCTATATAAACAGCTGAAAATTTGCTTTTTATAAAGATCTAGCTGTTTTAAAGTGTTTTTAATGAACTGTGCTGGATTTTTTTGTGCTTTCAACAAGCTCGGCCAGGAGATGAAGACGACAACAAAATCGCGATCTCTCGCGCATATCGCGAAGAGCGGATCGCGATAGTCTTGATCCCGATCCCGCCTGATCGTGATTGAATATGACAGTGTAGCAGCACCTAATCCCGATTGTGGTTAATCCGGATTCACATTGATCGCGATTAAAAGTGCCCGTGTGACACCAGTATTAGTGGATTCCATGATGCTGCTCAGAATAGGGCTGTTGGTCTCCTTGCTGGTAAGTCTGCTAAGCGCACCACGAGAGTCGGTGAGGATGACAACCTTCGATGCTAGTAACTCTTCTTGTACGTATTTAAGGGCAGCATCAGTTGCTGCTAGCTTGGCCGTCACCGACAATGTGGGGTGAAGTATTTTAAAGGAGCAGTGTCATCAAATTTACTCGTGCCAATATTTTTGCGTCAGCGAGTAGCTATAGAGACCGTAGCAACGATTCACGACCTAAAACGCAACTGGGGGGTTGATAACTATCTCTTTTATTGATTTATATTACTGGGATCTAGCACTAATCAAAAATGGCTTTTAGCGCTGGCAGCACCAGCAGTGGCGCTACCTCACGGATGGATGGATGGATGGATGTGGCTGTACCCTTTAGATCGGGCGGCGGCTAACGCCACCTAGCCGTAATACTTAGTGAACTAACCATTACATTTATCTTTTTTTCCTTTAAATAATGATGTTGAGGATTCGTACTTCGCAGTGAAGGGTTTAATTTTCACTCGTGCCTTGACTTTAGCCACCAATCAGATAAGCTCCTTCTAGTTAAGTCTACCCGCCTAAAGTCTATTTTGCCCTCGCTGTCCCTAAATCCCAGTGCTTTGAAAAACTCTGCGCCATCATCCTGAACTATAGGGTGAAGCCCTTTACAGAACATTATCAAGTGTTCGGCAGTTTCTTCTTCCTCTCCACACGCACTGCATATTGTGTCGACCCCTTCGTATTTGGCCCGATATGTCTTGGTTCGCAGTACTCCCGTCCTGGTCTCAAACAGTAGAGAACTACCCCGAGTATTATCATAGATCCTTTCCTTGGCAATTTCCTGCTTAAAAGTTCGATAGATCTCTAGTGCGGACTTCTTAATCATGCCCATTCTCCACATGTCAGTCTCCGTT